GTTTTTACTCTGTCTTTCCGTTTTGCAAATATGGTTCTGATTACGCCAGTTTTTGGTAGACGGGAGAGAGAGAGAGAGAGAGAGAGAGAGAGAGAGAGAGAGAGAGAGAGATATATAGAGAGAGAGAGAGAGAGAGAGAGAGAGAGAGAGAGAAAGGAGAGATATTCAAGTGCTGAAGATTAAAATGTTTTACTAGAGAATAATATACAAATGAAAGAAGGAGAAGAGATAAGGACGATAGCTGTTTGATGGGAAGGTGGTATTTGAATTACGAAAAGTGATAATAGATTTGCGAAAAGTGATATTTGAATTACGAAAAGTGATAATAGATTTGCAAAAAGTGATATTTGAATTACGAAAAGTGATATATTTGTACTGCGAAAAGTGATATATTTGTATTGCGAAAAGTGATATTTGTACTGCGAAAAGTGATATAGTTTGTGTATTCTACCCAGTTCCCATAGCAGTGCCACGACTGAAACTCCGAGGGTGTGAGACATTGGTGAAAAGTAAACTTCTATTTTTTTGCCTTTAAAAACTAGACATTCCTTTAATACGGTTATCGATACTTTATTGTTGCATAATTGAGATGCATCAAAATTGTAATTTAAGCTGCATTGCCGAAAAATGATATGTGAGGCATCGTGATGAAATCAGGCGATGATCAAAATAATGAAATTGGAGAAACCGTCATGTTTCCGCCCCTTGGGCAATTGTTATTCTTGATCAATTTTTGTTCTTGATTTTTCTTTTTTTTTAACATTCAGAATTTAAATTTTGACAAAACATTTCTCGAACACATGCATCCAACACCACAGATTAAGAGATAAGGGGGGGCGCTACACCGTTTTATGTCCATGTTACAAACACACCTGGATGTGAATTCTGCTGAATAATGTAGACTAAAGGCACAACATTCCAACTTCATACAAAACTGCAAAACAAATTATTAAAAGCAACAACAAACAAGATTGGATGAACAGATGGGCCCTGGGAAAGGCAGGCAGAGCAGTTTTCAAACATATGACCACAACAAAAAAGGAATGACAATATCAACCACATACAGAGAAAGAAACAGACCACGATCTTCCGCCTACGAACAGAACATATACAGCTCAACTTCCCCCAATGTGTCCCTTGTGTGACTATGCATATGAAACTGCGGATCATTACTTGTTACGCTGCACAGCCCTAAATGACATCAGAGCTACCCTTCTCCCTCCGAGACCTAACATTGACAACACACTCTATGGAACATTACTGTAAATTACAGCAAACATGCTCTTATCACTACATGGCATTGGACAGGAGGGCGAGAGCCCAGCAGTTGCTGGATCGATAACTACAACAACAACAACAACAACAACAACAACAACAACAACAACAACAAAGGCACCAAAGGCTACACACGATTCTCGCTGTAGTCAAATGCACCTGACACCCCCCCCCCTCCTTTCTGCCCATCATTCTGCTCAAATTAAGCCAAATGTTAATGGCGTGCTCCATAGTGAACTGGAAATACGCTGAAGTGCACGGTCTAGGTTATTATGATGTAAATCCGTGGTCTTGGTCGTGTGAGTGGTTGGCGGGTGCTCTGGTGTGGTTTGCTCCATCTATCCTATCTAACATCCATCGTGGGTGGTTCGCGGGTGCTTTGGTGTGGTTTGCTCCGTCTTTCCTATCAAACATCCATCGTGAGTGGTTGACGGGTGCTCTGGTGAGGTTTGCTCCGTCTTTCCTATCTAACATCCATCGTGGGTGGTTCGTGGGTACTTTGGTGTGATTTGCTCCATCTTTCCTATCAAACATCCATCGTGGGTGGTTCGTGGGTACTTTGGTGTGATTTGCTCCATCTTTCCTATCAAACATCCATCGTGGGTGGTTCGTGGGTACTTTGGTGTGGTTTGCTCCATCTTTCCTATCAAACATCCATCGTCCTTACATCTCCTCCTTCTTATCTTTGTATGATACTCTATAGTAAAGCGTTCAGATCTTCGGCAGTTGAACAACTTTTTGGTATTGTAAGTGGCGTAAAATTCTTACTAAAACTAGCCCTGTTTTTTTTTTAAAAGACGCCTGCCTTGAGTTTGGGAGGACTCGGGTTCGATTCCAAGTGCCGTGCCTGTAGTTGCTTACTTATTTTTTTCCCGGCCTCTGCTACTCGTATTATCGTTCGATGTTGATGGGAGTCTAGCAAACGCCTTGTTCTTGTGTGTTGGTGGGTGGTTAGCGGGTGCTCTGGTGTGGATTGCTTCTTCTTTCCTATCAAACATCTATCGTCCTTATCTCCCCATCTTCATTTTTATGTTTGCTTCTCTCTTGTAACACCTATAATCTTCTGGCGCTCATAAAACCTTATGCAGTTGCGAGCGCCGTAAAACCTCTACTGAAACTAAAACTAACTTGTGTGTGGCATCGCATGTTGCATCATTATATTATTGATTTTGTTTCATGTTTCATGTTTCTCTGACCGTCTCGTGGCTATGACTGTATGGAATCTGTAATCTGATAGTATTGGTGCCTTGTGTGGCGTTAGCGTTTGTAGTGTCCTGTGACTTCTGGGCCTAATGTCAGTAGTAACTGACGGTCGCTTAGTCAACACCCTTTCTATAAATAATTCACTGCCGTCACCATCACAACAACTACAGCAACAACAACAACAACAACTACAATAATAATGATAACAATATAATAGCAGCAGCAGCAACAACAACAGCTATAACAACGACAACGACAACAATTTTTCTGTTTCCCTCCCTCCCCCCTCCCTTCTAGAATAATCATAGACACCAGCAGCCAGCGATAACTGAAATAACAATAACAACTATACAACAGCAACAATACCACCAACCTCACAACAACAAGTACAACAACGACATAACAAAAACAACTGCAACAACACCAACAACAACAATAGCACTGTTCCCCTCCTTCTCCCCAAGACCGCCCCGAACCCCTGCAATAATAGAAATAACAACAACAACAAAAACAACAGCAACAACAACAACAACAAAAACAACAGCAACAACAACAACAACAACAAAAACAACAGCAACAACAACAGCAACAACAAAAACAACAGCAACAACAACAGCAAAAGCAACAACAACAACTACTACTACTACAAACAACAACAACTACAACAACAACAAAAAACAACAATAACACTTCTCTCCTCCCTTCCTCCCCCCTCCAGGACCATCCCCGACCCCAGCAACCAGCGCCTCAACTGGACCAAGCCTCCCCTGTCCGTCCTCATCATCCGCAAACACCTGGACGAGTCGGTGCTGTCTCCCTTCAGAGACCTGGTGGTATGGCTGGTCGAGGTAAGCAACTGACCACACTGCAACAACGTAGTTTTTGATTGGGGGGAGGGGGGGTGAGGTCTGGTGAGCGAAAAAAAATTACAAAATAATAATAATAATTGCATTTATATAGCGCATATCCATGCTCAAGAGCATGCTCTATGCGCTTTACAACTATTATTACCCCAGCAGACCCTCTGTGAACACTCAGAAACATTCTCGGCTTCTGCGGAAGCATACAGTGCAAGCTGCGGATTTCACGCGCTCAAACACTATCAAACTGACAAGATCGTTCACTGTCTATAGCCGGGTACCCATTTCCACCTGGGTGAAGTGAGGAAAATTTGTGCAAAGTGCCTTTCCCAAGGACACAACGTCGGGCCCCTGACGGGATTCGAACCCACAACCTTACGGTTGCGAGTCCGAGAGCGTAACCAGTAACCACTAGGCCACCGACGCCACAAAATTATTCCCTTTCCTAAATAAATGAACGTAGCGTAGTAAGACTCAATGCCAGGGTGCAAAGTGATTTGGGGTGTTGTTCTTCGTGACAGATATATCACTTGTTGCTATGGCGATGGCAGCCGTCTTGAAAATAAACAAAAATCTTATATTCCTAAAATCTCAAACACTAATCGAGATATTCTTCTTTGTAAGATAGGAATGGAAAGGCAGGACCTGGATTGAGGTAATATGGCAACTCTTTTTTTTTTTTAATTTGGTTGTTTGCATGGACGTAGCATGACTTTGAATTGCATGATGTAAAGAAAGTGTTGAAAATACACCGCAAACCTGATATAAATGCTCATGCCCACTGTCATGTACAAAGAAGGACAAAAATAACTAGATCATTACCTGGACATAGGGATAAGCTACCACCGTACCAAATGTCAAATCACAGGGGCAATAAGTAAGCGAGATTTTAGGATTGTCGTGGTAAGCTGTCCATGAAAAACACATTTCAGAGAAAATGGCCATTAAAGTAAAAAATGACCTACTGTGATATTATTAGTAGGCATATGAAACAAAATTGCACATTCAGCATGCTTGCCTCAGCGAAATAGTACACCGGATTTGATATCTGGACACATTCAGGTATTCATTTATGCAAAAAACCTCAACAATATTTTGACACAATGTTAAGCTTTAGTCCCACCCGACTGCCCCCTTGATTGTAGTTTTAGTAAGAGATTTCCCTTTCTCGGCTTTCATTACCATAGCAGAGACTAAGAAGTATAATCGACTTTAATTTTAAAAAGAGTTTTACAGCAGTTGCAACACAATAAGGTTATGTGATATGAGTGTCGAAGATTAGAGGTGTTATAAGTAACAAACATTTTTTGTGATGCATCGTGGTGGAATCAGGCTCTCGTCAATTTTGGGGCATGTAGAGTTATTGGTATCATCTTAAAGCTTGTTCATTTGTCTTTATTCGGGTGAAAAAAACATCCATTTACCTTGAATACAAGTCGAGATATTTGCGAAATAAGGAGATGGAGGTCACCTGTTTTCAGAGGTAAAATTAGTGAGAAAATGGCCGCCAAAGATTAGTTATTTCCTTAGCTTAAGAGTCCGCGGTAAACTGAAAATTTACATTCTTTTTTGCCTTTAATCAACGTTTTTCAGAAAAAATCCACACAGAAATGAGTTCTTTAATTGGCATGAAAGGTGTTGAACCAAAAAAAAAAAAAAAAAAAAGATTGATAAAAATTCACAAGCCTGTGGAAAAATACAAGTTTCTTCACTTTGATTATTTTGACGAGAGCCTGATTCCACCACGCTGCCTCACATATTATGGCTTCAGACAAATTAAACATTTTGTGTTAACATAAAGTCCTGCCCGAAATAAAAGGGTAGGAGGGACAGAAGCCCAGCTCCTGAAAGGTGTAAACTGTGTCAATGGCGACATAAAAACACCTACATGTAAAAAGCAACAGTGAATTTTGTTAACCATAAATGGCTGCTGAATGGCCAAAATTGTGTCAATGGGGGCATAAAAACACCTGTATTTAAAAATAACCCATCAAATGTTGTTACCGATGATGACCTTTTATAGACTTTCTTGTCTGCTTTCGGATCTTCGTGGTTGCAGACAGCGTTGATGAGCAAATGGAGTGGCAAGACACCAGAGCGTCTACATAGAGAAGAGCCCAGGGCAAATCTGGGCGCTATAAGAAAACCAGTCATCCGTAACTGTGATTAGGGGAAGGAGGCCAAGTTCTCCTCAGAAAAGCTCGCGTATTTTCTACATTTTCAAAGCGTTCTCTTTGATTACCGAGTGGTGAGAAATTTTTATCGATCACATGTCTCGGCCTTTTGTACACGAGAAGGTTATGAAATAAGATATTTTTACTCGGCCTTCAAACCCCCTCCATTTCATGAACCTTTTTTTGGGATCAAAGTTGAATTAATTTTCCCAAAATAAGAATTTTCTGTCGCTTGAAATGTACCTAAAGTATGACATTCTTGGCACGCGTTTTTCGGCTCCTCTTCATAAAGCGCAGGTTCAAGCTACACCAAGCAGAAGAAAGGGCATCTTTTAGTTTTGTCCTCAAAGTTGTCAGTTACAGTTACCCCCCCAGGGCGGTGCCACTGACTGAAGTGTCTTTAGGCCATTCCAAAAGGGAGAATATTTACGTGTTCTTATGCACAGTAGAATTGTAAATAGGCTGATCCAACAATGTCATGCTCATATCTGCCTGAACTAACGCGGGGAACTGCTGCTTTTTCTTTCTTAATCCTTGCTATCGTCATTTTCCTCTACTTCTTTTGTATGTTTGTCACACTCTTGTGACCTGCTGTTGCCGGGATGCCTTGATAGTCGAGGCAGACTTTGTGCTGTTGAAGCTAAAGAGGTGAGCAGAGTAAGTCTGATTCCCTGTAAAGACTTCTTTGTCGACATCCAACCCTTGGCGCTCATATGACCTTATGTAGTTGCGAGCGCCGTAAAGTCTCTACTGAAAAGAAAAAGTTGTCAATTTTTTGTCTGCCAAATTTTACAATTATAAAATACTGACTCCATAGTATTCGGTTTACATCAAACAGTTTACTACGTCGTTAGTCAATTAAATTACGTTTGGGAGGTTGATGGGTGCTGTGATGTCGTTTGCTCCTTTTCTATCAAACATCAGTCGTCTTTATCTCCCCTATTTTCTTTTATGTTTGTTATTCTCTAGTTCTAGCAACACCTCTAATCTCCGGCACTGACTGAAGTGTCTTTAGGCCATTCCCAAAGGGGGGACATTTCTCGTTCTGATGTACAGTTGATAGCTTGATCCAACAATGTCATGCTCATAACTGCCTGAACTACAACGGGGAACTGCTGCATTTTCTTTCCTAATCCTTACTATCGTCGTTTTCCTGTACTTCTTTTGTATGTTTGTCACACTCTTGTGACCCGCTATTTCCGGGATGCCTTGATAGTCGAAGTAGAATGAGTGCTGTTGAAGCTAGAGAGGTGAGCAGAGTAAGTTTGATTCCCTGCAAGGACATCTCTGTTGACATCCACCCCCTTGGCACTCATATGACCTTATGCAGTTGCGAGCTCCGTAAAGCCTCTAAATAAAATACTGACACCACAGTATTCGGTTTTCATCAAACACTTTGCTACGTCATTAGTCAGTTGTACTTGTGGCTGGTCGGTGGGTGCTCTGGTGTGGTTTGCTCCTTCTTTGCTATAAAAGCATATATCGTCCCCAACTCCCCTATTTTCTTTTCTGTTTGTTACTCTCTAGTTCTAGTCACACCTCTTATCTCCGGCACTTCTATGACCTTATTGTGTTGCAAGTGCCGTAAAGCTCTTACTAAAACTAAAACCTAAAACATTATTTATTAATTATGCTTCCGGTCTCTTCTCTGATAATGAATGTCAAGAAAGGTAACTTTAAATCTTTTTTTTTTTTTTGAAAATATGTTTTGAAACGTTAGTAAGCATTTTTATAACCACTGCAAAACGATGAAAGATATAAAATTGATAAGAATTCAAATTCGTAATTCTGAGCTGTCGTTTAACCTCGTCACTGCTGAGTAGACGCTTGTTCTGTTTTGTATTCTCCACTCTTGTATTTTTTCATCAGGTTAACAAAAGAAGTTTTAGTTGCTGAAGTTACAGCTTGAGATTTTGCTTATTCTGAAACAATTCTCTGTGTTCAGATATTCCTTGAATTAACATTGTATCTTGTCAGTACAGATGTTGATGGAAATTGTTCAGCAGTGAAGGGGTTAATTCTTTTGGGGTTATATTTTGGAGCTTGGCTGTGTGGTTTCAACCTATTTTATCCAGCCCAACGTACATTTCAGCATATGAAGTGAATGATTACGCAAAGAATTTTCAAGTCTGTCGACTCTGAGGTCACCTTAACAGAGACAAGCTTAAATGTTACAAAATTAAATTCTATTAGTGAAAATGTAATGCATTCTGAATGTCTCTAAAGTTGGATTTTGTATGAATCGGTTTAATGTTCATTTCAATATGCCTAAAATGGCTCTCAAATAGAAAAACCCAACCACAAACAAACAGAACAAAAACAAACCGACAAACATTGATATTTGGAACATTACGGGTCAAATAAAAGATTTGATTATGGTGTCTGCCAAACCCTCCACCTTCCCTATCCACGCCACCCTCTTCCCTTCCCTCTCCACTCCACCCCCTCTCTTCCCTTCCCTATCCACTCCACCCTCTTCCCTTCCCTATCCACTCCACCCCCTCTCTTCCCTTCCCT